CAGACCGTGACAGAATGATCCCGCCAACCACCATGGACCCAGCAAACTCAGGAGTTGCCACGGAGGAGAGATCGCTCGCGCAGCTATGGGATTACTGCCGCAGCGTAGTCCAGGCCGTAAATCCACACAGGAGACACATACAAGTAGTGTTCCTTGACAATCACCTCACATCCACTACCTTCACCACGAACATTCTGGACATTAACAGACTTAGGCACCTGGTCACTAGTTTAAGGGAGAGCTCGAGTTTTGAACTATTTGGCTTGGGTGGTCCGAGCATGGACAATTCGGCTGCTCTCCTAGAGACTCTAGCCGCTTGGTTTTTCACGCGTCGGCGGAGGGCTTTCCCGTCGATGCTTGCGGCACAATCGTTTGATCCGCCATTACAGAAGGCATGCCGCACTCTCTACCATCATCCGATTACGCCTCAACCCACTCCTGCGGTTTCAGCCCAGTCAGCTGGCAACGGACCGACAGCGCTCATTACCGCAGTGAGTAAACCCGACTCATTTTTGTCTATTAATCATGTCATTGAAAATCAAAACCCAGATGAACAGCAGAAGACTGTTTCCATACACCCGGCCCCGCCTTCACGGAGGAGAAGGCGTCCTCGCAAGCAGCGTTCAACCACATCCACACTCACTCCTGTGCTGGTCGAAGACTCAGGACCAGCGGCTCTGGACGCCACAGTGAGTAAAATGGACTCTGCCGGTGTTATAAATTCCCTTCCTGTAAACATGAAAATAGAAACAGTTTGCTGTACCTCCAAAGACTCAGAAAATATTCCCTCTGAGACTGTAAGCTGGGAGCTAGGGAGTTCCGAGCATACAGACCCAAATGACTTTTTGGCTCAGTCTGGCCACATGGAGACTGAGGTTCTCCCCAGGGCTTCCCCAGAGACCGAACTGGAGGTCTCAGTTGCCTCTGGACCCCTGGAATTTGTTGAGCCAGCTGTAACATTTTCATCCTCTCCACCCTTCATAGTAGCCATCTCACCCTCACCTCAGCCTGCTGCCCAGCTGGTAGCTCAGTCTTCAGTCCAGTCAGCCTCTCACCTTCATCCTCAGTTGGAGGTCGATATGCCGGCCGGACCACCTCTGCCATCATTTCACCCATCTGTCCCT